CTTAATCCGAATAATCCTACATAAATAGTCTCCTCTTCGAATCAATGACACATTCGAACCTCAAACCTGCATTCAAAGATGGAAATGATAGGGATTAGGATCGGCTAATTAGATGCAGACTTTTTGAATCATGAATTCCCAAAGACTATGTTAAATTAAGGTTAAAGTTAATCTAAAACATTTAATCTAACAAATAAGGAGAAGTTTATCTGGTGGGCACATCCCTTTTGTTTAAATTGGAGTTCATTCATTGAGCAAGTTCGGAAGTTATTTGCCCCTTTTTCGTCACCTCTTATTCTTTGTAAGATGTATAAATAAATTGGAAATAAAGTTGTATACATTTTTTTTACTCTAAACAGGCCTCTGACGTTGGTGGTTCAGTGAGTTAATACTCGATTATAGTGTTAATACAATTTTTAATATTAATTACCATTGATTAGAGAATATTATTTTATGTACAATATTGCCTTACAATCGGAGCATTTGTAGGGGGGGGGGCTTGTTTTTCTAAATTGATTATGACAGGAAATATTCTTGATAAATAAAATCTTTTCTTCTGACAAGTTTATTGATCAATCCCTATGACTTTTACATTGACCGATACCGTTATGGGAGGACATGAAGTTTATCAAGCAAGAAATTTTTTTTGAATCATATTCAATTCATACAATGACGTACACAAATTATTCCAAATTAAGGGGTAACAGTGTAGTATGGATTCTATACAATGTATACATCGCAGTAGTATCTACATGTATACCAATCAATATTCTAAAAAAGGTAAACATGTTTCTGTTATAAACTGAATGTTAAAAAAATGAAGTAGACACATTAATAAATTGCATCATAAAAGATTAAACCCCCCCCCCCCCCGTTCGCTTTGGGATTTGCATATTTCAGAATCTAATCATAAAAATGTGATTCAAGTCGATTTTCGGTGCAAATGCATACCTGAATCTTGGAATTTGAAACATCTGCGGTTTTTCAAATATCATGAAACAATTGCAAGGCCACTTTTGTCACGTTAATGAGCAATTTTGTTCAGTCTTTCTATTATAAAGTTCTGCACGTAATGCAAACATTCAAATGACACGTTCCGTCGATATGTCATCTATCACTCAGATCAATAGCAATTTCACTACATTTTGCTCATATGCGGTCATATGGCGAAATTAATCTGAATAAACATACTTCCATTTTACATTGTCTATCGATCAATCCCAATGATATTTACTTTGATATGTACATTCCTGAGAGCATATGAGCACATGAACATGTTAATACAGTCAATTCACGAAAAGACGTAAAACAATTATTTCAACTTCATGGGCAGCAGATAAGTATAGACTTATACAGTGTATAAATTATCGTAGTATCTATATTAATCAATATTGTAAGGGAGTTGATTCACCCTAGCGGGAGCAGGTCAGTGACTTAGGTGATGGGCGCCAACAGGGGCGTACGCAGGGGGGGGGGGGGGTTGGGGGTTCAAACCCCCCCCCTTGGTATTTTTATATATGTAAAAACCCCTAAAAAAACCTAAACCCCCCCCCCCGCCCTTTGTTTTGTTTTTGTTTTGTTTTTTTTATTATAAAAAAAAAAAAATATATATATATATATATACCCACGGCTAATCTAAATAAGGTGACCTTACCCCCCCCCCCCCCAGAAGAAAAATGTCAAATTTTGAAATTTCGAGACCAAAAAAAAAAAAAAAGTGTCAGCATAAAACGTACGACCATTCGGTACAATGTTCTGAAAATCAGACCATTACTTACTGGCTTTTTAGCTCTTAAGTCGACTAATAGTCGTTATTTTCCCACTTATAGATATTTTCAAGCCCCCATTTTTTAGGGACGTTCTAACTTAGTATTATCTTTCAAATGCCGTTGGAATTAAACCTTTTCATTTTTGGGCCTGCAAATGGGACATAGTAACGTTAATAAGGGTATACATTTTCTTTGTTAACAACTGGACTTTTGGAAACATTAATGAGTCAAATTCAAAAATTGCATGCTATAAATTAGACCACCGAAGTTCACCTTCGGTATAAGGTATTATTTCAGATTCGCATTAAAATACTGTGATTCACTTCGATTTGTGGTGCACAGAGACTGCTGAATAGTAGTTTTTTATAATATGCAGACACCTTATGTTTTGAGTTAAGTTTATCAATCAAACAAGTTCATGAATCAGTTTTGCATTTTCCATCAACTCTTATTATTTTTAGATAAATTAAAATTAACAATTACTTTGAATGGTTACTCTTAACAGGTACCTGGCGGTAGGATATGGATTAGCCGGTTCCCAGTAAGTGTGTTGATTTAGAGTTTTAATTCATTTTGAATTTGAATTATTAAAATTTAATAATGCTATTATGTACAATTTAGCTTTTTTTCTTTTATGTTTGTATCTTTTCCTGAATTGTGTGAGACATGACTTTGTATTGTTTTTAAATATTTTTCCATCCACAGGGATTTTATTGATTCTCAAATCAACATGAAAAAAAAAAATACGTAATTCAACATCAATTACTGTAGCGGTTTACAATATACAATCAAATATGCAGTGAAATTAAGGAAATCAATTAACTGTCAGTTTGATCAATACAAACAAAACGCATATGATAATCACTCGGTAAAAAAGATTTTTCAACCGAAACGACATTTTGCAAATTTACCTTGTTTAGAGTTCTACTTTGAAATATATTTTTTATTGTAATACTAGTTTTGTATTAATGCTTTGATAATACTGAAATCGGCAATCACACTTTGTATCGTTTGTCTCATTATAATCAGGATACAGTTAAGTGCAATGTTACTCTTACCTGTATATCCAAATAGTTTATTTTGAGGTAAAACAATGTTAATCTCTCACCAGTTTTAGTCAAGATCCAGGCCTCTAAGCTATCCAACGTATTGAAGGATTTCCTGGCGAAATTCTCGAGTTCGTCATTCGAAATTAATTACTCTGCCTTTTACTTAGCGCAGATCGGCTTTGCCATGCAAATTATCATTCAATTTACACGTTTTTGTATTTAATATAGAATTTTGGTCGAAGGATTTCATAGATCTATTTTTTTAATTTAGGAACTGCTCAATTAGCATCCAAACTAATCGTCACATGTCGAGGCGTCATTTTTATCATTTCTATTAAAACCTGTCATTCGTATTCGAAATATGTGTAGTTAGGTTAGGGATGTTAGGGGGAAAATGCACACACGTTAACATTTTTGAAATTGTGTGACTCTAGTCCCTACCCCAGTCACAATATAGTTCCCTTCCTCCACAATGACGTTATGATGAAATTATGATAAAGTTATGATGAAACACAAGACAAACAACTTCCTTACATGCAAATTTACAAACATATTGAGACCATCAAGTCCGTAGATGCAAGTCGTTTTTTCTTCTTCACAATCAAACTTGAATGCTGATGAATATCACATAAATGTAATAAGAATAAGTCTATTAATGCAGGAAAATAGAATGTGATGAAATACACATGAAAAAACAATATTGAAAAAAAAAGATTGAGCTATTTAAAGTGTGTAATAAACGAGAAATGTATATTGATTAAGTGCTAAGCTTTAATTTGAATGCTACAAATGAATTAGGATAATATAAGTACACCGTCACGATGTCAGAAAATTGTGTTGCGCCAAATCGAAAGACAAAATAGCGAAAGAAGCACATTGTTCAATAAATTGAATGAGACGTACATATATATATATATTCTTACGAAAACTTTATAGATTTGAAAACTAGAAAAGGAAAGATAAGCCAGGGATATACCTTACAGCACTAAAACCGTCGAATGTGAACATAAGACAAGTTAAATTGAATGAAAAATTCGCGAATTTGGCCTGGAAATTCTACATTGACATGCCTACACTCACAATTTAAATGTACACCAGTTTTAATTTGGTCGTTACTGTGTCAATATTGTTTCTGAGATTTTAGAAGAACACATGTAAAGCTTCAATCAAAAGAGGGCGCCAGATGGCCCCATCAGTATACGTGCCTTCACGGTTGTTTCATCGCAAAGCATGCCGGGACATAATTCTAGTCCATTTTCACCTTCGCCGTGATCAGCTGTCCTGTTGCAAACAACGGGATTCTTATCGAATCAACATCATAATCTTGTACATAGTCCGCTATTCTGCAGTGATTTTCTTCCAATCCAGTATCATTTGTACGGTAAGAAAACCAAAGTTTGTGGTTATTCATTTTTATGACTAATAAAGCTGATAATACGACGTAATGAGAGTGGGCCGAGATCCAACTTTAGTAAATGTAGGCCTAGATCTAGTCCCGTATGTTCAAATGTGTGTGCATTTTAAGTAGACTGATTGTCTTTTAAGCTGCTTAAGTACACTCGTCTCGTGTTTTAGGTAGAAATGTACAGTAATATGAGATTTATGTCTCATGAAATATTAATAGACTTTTTAGTTTCTAGATCCTATCATTGATAATGGAATAGGGTCTACTAGAATGGCTGACATTTAGATAGTGATTGCAATTAAGTGTAAAAAAGTAAAAGAGGCCATGAAAATGATAGATTTGTCGATCTGGATCTGGATATAAATTCTGATATCGATGAGCTCAACTTGAGCATCTACGTGTTGAAGAAGTGATAAGGATTCTTTTGTTACAATCATTCTTGTGGTCACGAACTTAATATGATTGTCTTTTCCCTTATATTTATCAGTTGCAGCATTATCGAACACGGCCGATGAAACGGAAGATAACGTGCATGTAGATGTTACGAGAGAGCTCATTTCACAATGGACAACAGAAGTGTTACGTGACTTTCTACAAGGAGGGGACTCAAGCTTGGAAATCGAGTACCGGTAGTCATTATTTTATGGGTGTTCTCTGCCTTGACGCGGTAGCTGTTTAGCCATCCGAGGTAGACACTGTGAGGAACTGGACAATGGATGGATTGTCATCTACCGTCTACCATCTACCGTCCACCACCTTCGACTGCAAATTGACTAACTGTTCCAGACTTCCTGAATGAGTTTGAGAGTTTTCTAACCGATTTATCAGTCCTTCCAGGCAAATTACTTGTGCTTGGAGACTTCAACTTCCACGTGGATCTACCTGCCAAACCAGACGTCAGTGCCTTTCTTCAAGCGACATCCTCCGCCAGTCTTCATCAGCATGTCATAGGTCCAACTCATTCGCATGGTCACACATTGGACTTGGTATTCACAAGAGAGACGGAATCCTTAATTAAGAAATGTAATATCTATGATGTACAAATGTCTGATAATTTTGTTATTGATGTTCAATTAGACATACCTTTACCGCAACCACAAAAGATTCTCACAATATCTCGAAATTTTAAAGCAATCAACAAGGAAATATTCTTGACAGCTTTGTGTGAGTCAATTTTGGATTTTAACCACCAAGGAGATCCTGAATCTGGGTTCAAGTGGTACAATGAAACTATGCAATCACTTCTGGACGAATCTGCCCCTCCAACCTCAAAAGAACGCCCTGTACGACGAAGGATGCTGTGGTACAACGATGACATTCATTTGGCACGTCGTGAGAAACGTCGAGCAGAACGAAAATGGAAAAAGACTAAATCTGATGTTGATCGAGATGAATTCTTGGACAAACAACGTTATTCATCAAATCTGATTTGTCGCACAAAGATAGCGTATTTTCATAGTACTCTATCCTCGTGTGAAAATAAGGATCTCTACAAGACAGTTGATTATTTGTTGAATAGAAAGATACCATCTCTTCCTGTACACGACTCAGTTGAGACATTATGTAATAACTTTTTAACATTCTTTGGTGATAAAATAAAGAAGATTCAGGGCAGCATTAATGATGAACAGCACATTTCTACATTTGATCCGGATATGTATAATCAAGTGCATGTAAAATCATTTTCGTGTTTAGATCCTACAACTGAAGATGAGTTATTGAAAATTATTCTGGCTTCTCCTAGTAAGTCATGTAGTTTGGATCCCATTCCAACTTGGTTTTTAAAAGAACATGTACATTGTCTTCTTCCTGTATTGACAAATATTGTTAATTCATCATTACAAACAGGTACATTCCCTTCTGCAGCTAGGTCAGCCATAATTAGACCTCTTATCAAGAAGCAAAATCTTGATAAAGACTGCTTGTCAAATTATAGACCTGTGTCAAATTTAAGTTTCTTGGAAAAGCTCATTGAGAAAGTTGCTTGTCGTAGACTCACGGATCACATGAATGAAAATAGATTGTGGGATCCTAACCAATCTGCATATAGACCCTATCATAGTACTGAAAGCGCACTTATCAAAGTAAAAAATGATATTCTGTCTGCTATGGATAAAGGTCGAGTAGTTTTATTGTTGTCATTAGATCTTTCAGCAGCCTTCGATACTATTGACCGTCATATTTTAATATGTCGGTTATCAACAAGGCTAGGAATCGAGGGTGCAGCTCTGAGATGGTTTAGGTCATATTTGGAAGACTGGTCCACATGTGTTGAAATTAGGGGGAAACAGTCAGTAGTAGCTTCTAACAAAGTAGGTCTCCCTCAAGGATCTGTATTTGGACCCATAGGATATACTATATATACTTTGCCTGTCCCAGACATCGCTAGACATTATAACGTTTCATATCACACTTACGCTGATGATACACAGTTGTATGTTACATTTAACCCTAAGCAACCTAATGGCTTAAATACTGCATTAAAAACTCTTTCAGATTGTGTCACAGATATAAGTATGTGGATGGGAAGGAATAAGCTTAAACTAAATGAGGAAAAGACAGAGTTTTTGGTAATCGGCTCCAAACACAACTTGGGAAACATTAATGATGCTAATCTTACATTCGGAACCACCCAGATTGCACCATCTACTTCGGTCAAGAACCTTGGTGTCATTTTTGATTGCAATATGTCCATGTCTAACCAAATAGACCAGCTTTGTAAATCTGTACGATATCAGTTGAAGAATGTATCACAGATTAGGAAGTATGTATCTGAAGATGCATGTCATCATGTGATTCGCAGCCATGTTCTTTCCCGGTTGGATTATTGTAACGGGTTGCTTACAGAAGTCCCTCAAACATATATAAGAAGACTTCAAAGTTTACAGAACTGGGCGGCTCGTATTATTTTTCGTTTAGACCGTCGTCACGATGCCATGCCTCTACTAACATCCCTTCATTGGTTGCCAATCAAACAGAGGATTGTTTTTAAGATTATTTTATTTGTATACAAATTTTTTCATGATCAGGCACCAGAGTATTTTAGTGACTGTCTTGAGTTGTATCAACCTGTACGTACAAACCTTCGCTCCAATGCAGACCCCTTTCGACTGACATTTCATGTGGCTCGTAGTAAGGCAGGAGATCGCACATTCACTGTTGCAGCAGCTAAGGAGTGGAATAAACTTCCCTCCAGTATCAAAGCTGCTGCATCAGTGGATGTTTTTAAGAAACTCCTTAAAACCTATTTATTTCCTACTTGATTCGCTATTTTTTTGTTTGTTCAATGTTATGTTATGTTATGATTTGTGGTTATTATTTGTAAGCGCTGTGATATAGTGTACTATGAATAGCGTAGCTAAATGCCTAATAATAATAATAATAATAATAATAATAATTGGGGGGTGGGGGTAGGCATGCAGAACTGGCCTACTATGTTTGTATGTACCTACTGGATAAGGACCCTCCATCACTAGAGGGAAAAATAATGAGAGACTACAAAGAGGGGAAGGCATATAGTTATTTTGCCTTGTGAAAAAATTAGATTTAGCCCCTAAAAAAGTGTTCCTTCGGGTATCAAATGACGACAGGTGAAACCTCACAGTTGTAGAATTATTATCTGTAATGTGATTTCCAAACCATGTGACAGCAAATGGTGTATGGTGTATGTTGTAAAGGTATTGTAAAATGCATTGTTTAACAATGTATAACAATGTTTAAACCGAGATGGACGTATGGCCCTACGTGCTACCAGTGTCTGTGATATGGTGTATCAGGGGCGTAGACAACGGGGGGATGAGGGGGATGGCATGTACAATCATCCCCCCCCCCCAGGTTTTGGGGAATGATATTTGCTTACTTAATAAGTCATAATGATGATAATAATAGTAATAATAATAATGATAACAATTATAATATTAATAATAATAATAATTATGATGATGATAATAATAATCCTCATCATTATTGTAATTGTGTTTATTGTTATTAGCCGCATTCACACGGTGAAAGCCAATTCAGACGGTAAAAAAAAGAAAATCTTACAAGTATTTTGTGGTTATCTTGTGGTTTGGAAACCACAAGATAACCACAAGATTAAACAGGCGCGGATCTACGGGGGGGGGGGTTTAGGGGGTTTAAACCCCCCCCCCTTGGGCGGCCCAAAAAAACAAACAAAACAAAAAAAAGGGAAAAAAAAAAGAAAACAAAAGAAAAAAAGAAAGAAAAAAGAACGCACGCTGGAGAGAAACCCTTTCAAGTGCAAATATTGTGAGAAGATATTCAACTCATCTGGTAACTTAACCAAACACATGATAACTCTGGATATAACTGTGTATTTAACTGTTACTTGATTTAAAAAGACGTTATTATGCACTGCTTTTTATGGTCTCCATTACATGTGTTAATAGATGCCAGGAAAACATCACTTACGGGGTTCAAATAAACACCCCAAAAAAAATCGGCTCGCCGCTTCGCGGCTCGTGGACGATGCTCCGCATCGTCAATATTTTGGTCAACCCCCCCCCCCTTAGCAAAAAGCTAGATCCGCCCCTGAGTCATCCCCCCCCCCCAGGTGTACGAACCTGTCTACGCCACTGTGGTGTATTAATACTGAAGCCCTAACAAAATTGTGCTTCAAAATGATCAAGAAGTGCCTCTAAAAAGTAAAAATCTTTGTTTGACCCTTTTACCATACTCGTTTTCCCCAATAAACTGTAGTGTTATGAAAACCGTTTGGCAAACACAAAATTTGGTTTCGATTTCCAATCGTAAATATCTTGATAATCAGACAGGCGATCGGATTGTAAAAGTCATTGAGTTCCTGACTGACCTAAATTTATCATTGCAGCATGAGCTAAATCCAGGATTTTGTTTCAGAATCTGAGAGTAAGTTACCCGATCCCTTTAAATGTGTTTGCATTAAAGGTGGTACCCCCCCCCCTTCTCAGCAAAAGTCCAGTGTGTAAAGTCAATACGGGCAGATCTTTTTCTTTGTTACGAGCCAGAGATTTTGGGAACACGCATGCGGTACCTCCGTTCCCGTTCCTGGAGGGGGGGGCGGCGGGGGTGGTACTACTTCTTCATAAGATGTCAACTTATATGCATTGCATTAAACCTGTTGATATTGATCTAACTTGTATTCATCTCATGGTTTTATTTATTTTATCAATAAAATAAAACAACACAGAGAAGGTTGTAGATGAGTACTAAGCAATCATTACTGTATGTAGGACGCCGAGTTGAAGTTATTCATGATTTATTCAAGAGAGGAAGGTCAGACAGACCTGATGTTTTAAATATTTAACGAGAGAAAAATCATAGAAACAGAGAGAGGCATCGAGAGAGATGTCGACGCTTAATGAAAGAGAAAGAGTGATAATAAGGAGAGAGGAGAGAGAAAGAGACAGAGAGGGGAGGGAGAGATAGAGAGGGAGAGCAAGAATTAGGTGTGAAGAGGAAGATCTAAGAGAACAAGAGATTAAATTTTACAAATGTACACGTTTCCATGTACCTTTACTTAATTTATATTATAATGTAAACGATATTGTGATGGTCTTTGCTTAATTTTAGTTTGCATTCTTTCCTTTAGCTTTATCTTCTAATTTACTATTCTAATTTAGTAAATGTTAGTATAAATATAATTTGGATTTCTATCTCTTCCCCTATGTCATAGCCTCCATTCTTGCTCTCCCTTCCTCATGTTAGTCCATCTCTCTTTCTCTCTCTCTCTGTAATGATAACCCCTCTATCAATCTTTTCTCCATCAACTCATGATATGTTCCTCCTCTTCTCCTTCTCGTTCATCATCACAATCATCATCATCATCTCAAAACTGTATTAATCAATCTATAAGACTCTTTAGATTGATCAATACAGTTCTTATAACATATGACCTTTATGTACAAACAATAAACCAAATGGTCACAATCATTTAATAAAAAGTGGTAAGAACAATTATTCCAACTCTATGGGCAACAACGTAATCTCCATTTTCTCCTCCTCGTTCAAATATTAGCTTCTTTTTCATTCTTTACTCGTGTTACTTCTCTATCTCTCTGACTATACTCACAAGAAAGTAGAATCAACGGTTTGACATGAAACAGTCTAGAAAATGAACTAAATTTATTCAAGTATCAAATGATTTTGAATTACAGACCGCTTTCTCCCACGAGATGAAAACAATATCTCCCTAACCAGAAACTGGCAAAATAACTAAATGCCTTTCCCTCTTTGTAGTCTCTCATTCTTCCCTCTAGTGATGGAGGGTCCTTATCTACTAGGTACACACAAATGTCTCTATACATAGTAGACGACCAGCTCTGCAGTCTGCATGCCTTTCTCCCCCCCCCCCCCCCGCCCCCTCTCCATCCATCGTCCAATTATCTCTACCTCGGATGGCTGAACAGTACCCCCAGAGTCAAGGCAGAGAACACCCATAAAATAATGACTACCGGTACTCGATTTCCAAGCTTGAGTCCCCTCCTTGTAGAAAGTCACGTAACACTTCTGTTGTCCATTGTGAAATGAGCTCTCTCGTAGCATCTACGTTATCTTCTGATTCATGGGTCATAGTGTTCGATGATGCTGCAACTGATAAATAAAAGGGAAAAGAAAATCAAATTTAAGTTTGTGACCAAAGAACCCTCATCACTTCTTCAACACTAGATCATGTAGCAGACGTGTATGCAGAGGGGAGGGAGTTTCGGGGGTTGAACCCCCCCCCCCCTCCTCCAATTTTGTTTAGACTATGTGTGTGTGTGTTTTTGAGGAACCCCCCCCCTCACTTTTTTAATAACAAAAATTATTAAACATTTTTTGTGCTAAAGGGTGACCCAAAAAAGGTGACCTTATCCCCCACCAACTGAACAAAATATCGGTCTCCCAAATTTCATATTTTTGGGGAAAAAAAGAAGGAAAAAAAAAGGTGCTCTTACCACCCCCGGCTTATTCACCGGCTGGCCGAGTCGTTGTGAAATTGACTGCGTGATTTTCAAATTTTACCCCCCGCCCCCCCCCCCCTCGAAAAAATCCTCCGTACGCCCCCGTCATGTAGATCCTCAAGTAGAGCTCATTGATATCAGACTATTATATTCAGATCCAGATCGAAAAAATCTATCGTTTTCATGGCCTCTTTTACTTTCTTACATTTATAATTTCTAATTGCAATCACTTTCTACTATCTAGGCCTAACTGTCGGCCATTCTAGTAGACCCTATTCCATTATCAATTATAGGATCTAGAAAGTCTATTCATATTTCATGAGACATAAATCTCATATTACTGTACATTTCTACCTAAAACACGAGACGAGTGTACTTAAGCAGCTTAAAAGACAATCAGTCTACTTAAAATGCACACACATTTGAACATATGGGACTAGATCTAGGCCTACATTTACTAAAGTTGGATCTCGGCCCACTCTCATTACGTCGTATTATCAGCTTTATTAGTCATAAAAATGAATAACTACAAACTTTGGTTTTCTTACCGTACATATGATACTGGATTGGAAGAAAATCACTGCAGAATAGCGGACTATGTACAAGATTATGATGTTGATTCGATAAGAATCCCGTTGTTTGCAACAGGACAGCTGATCACGGCGAAGGTGAAAATGGACTAGAATTATGTCCCGGCATGCTTTGCGATGAAACAACCGTGAAGGCACGTATTAAAAGCCACTCTCTCGTTACTATACCAATCTGACTGTACTATCCTTTGTCGTCTGACATTAAATGCCATCGAACCAAGTTTGAAACATGATGACAGCGGTGAAAGTTTGTAAATCCATGTAGGAAAGTGTTTGTAATACACCTATAACTCTATTATGCGTCTGCATACCGTGTTATGAACTGGAATTCACCTGTTTACTTTGAGAGTCAACTCAACGTATAGTCAGCCCCACTCATGTAAGTTTGTGTAGTGTTACTTGCATGCAAAGCATTGAAATTCGAGATCTCTGTCTGAATTGTTTGCTGTGGTGTACAACATGCCTGACACTGTGTCTCCTGACGGTACTGAGGGTGATTTGCAAGGGGCCCATTTCGTAAAGCCTTCTGTCCAACCCCCTGGTCATTTCCATGCGGCTGCGGGAAATGTAGGTCTAGTTGAAGGGTGGAAAATCTGGAGACAGCAATGGGACAACTACACTATTCTCACAAACCTCTCCAAACAACCAGATCGGTACCAAACTGCACTACTACTGCACAGTGTGGGACAAGATTGTCTGCGTGTCTACAACGGCATGAAGTTTGCTAATGCCGCTGAAAGTGTGAAATGCTCTGTGATACTGGATAAGTTTGATAAACATTTCCTTGGTGAGAGCAGAGAATTCTTTGAAAGATTCAAGTTCAATCAACGCAGTCAGGAAGATGGTGAATCTATTGAACAGTATGTGACAGTTCTGCGTACAATGAGTAAGACGTGTGGATTCTGTGACTGCATGAATGACAAATTGCTCGTTGATCGTGTTCTACTGGGAGTACGTGATGATCGTATGCGAGAACTACTCATCTCCAAATCTGATCTTGACCTCTCTACTGCCATTGATGTTTGTAAAGCAGTTGAAGCGACGTCTACTCACATGAAGGCGTTGAAAAGTGAGGAAATCAACAGGGTGAATCGAAAACCTTTCCCTAAACATGCTAAAACTGGAAGTGGAAAGCAGAAGTTTGTAAAGCAGAAGCCGAAAGAGCTCAAAAAGTGCAAGTTCTGTAATAAATCACACGAAATGAAGAAGGAATGCTGCCCTGCATGGGGTCAAAAGTGCAATGTGTGCCATAAGCCCAATCACTTCAAGGGATCTGCAGTGTGTACTTCCAAGAGTGTTCACCAACTCGAAGATGATGAGTACTCCTCCACTGAAAGTATCAGTGTTGTACAGATAAATACAGTAAGTCCTGAAGATGGACCAATTTTTTGCAACATGCTACTAAATGGTCGAAGAGTACAGTTCCAGTTGGACTCTGGAGCAACAGTGAGTGTTCTCCCACAGAAGTTTCTGTCTGAAGAAGATGTAGTGAGAAATGAATGCATCCATGACAAGGAATCCAGCTACTGGAAAAAAAAGTACAGGATTGACTATGTCATAGTTAAGGAGGATCTGACTCCACTGCTAAGCAAAACAGCTTCTGAGAAGATGCAGCTTATCACTGTTCACTACGAATCTATGGAAATAGTCCACAACATATTTCCTGAGAATGTCTGCAACCTAGCTCCTGAGAATCTTCACAAAGAGTATCCTGTGGTCTTCTCATCCTCTGTGACTGGTACTCTGCCGGGGAACGATGTTCATCTGACTGTTATGGATGATGCTACCCCTAGTGTTCGTCCTGCTAGAGTGATACCAGAATCCTTGAGAAGTATTGTGAAGGATGAACTTGATGCACTGCAGACAAGAGACCTGATTGAGGAAGTAAGTTCTCCGACTGACTGGGTAAGCCAGATGGCTGTTGTACAGAAGAAATCTGGTAAAGTGCGTGTGTGCTTAGACCCTAGACCACTCAATCTCGTGCTGAAAAGAGAACATTATCCTCTGCCTGTTCTCGATGATATCCTGCCTCAACTGTCCAATGCAACGGTCTTCTCCATCTGTGATCTCAAAGATGGATATTTGCACTGTGTTCTTGACGACGACTCAAGTCTGCTAACTACCTTTGCAACACCATGGGGAAGGTATAAATGGAAACGTCTACCATTTGGCTTGAAGGTTAGCAGCGAAATCTTCCAAAAGAGACTTCATCTAGCACTGGATGGTCTTCAAGGGGTACGATGTGTGGCAGATGACATCATAATCTGGGGTAACAGTGATGCTGAGCATGATACCCGACTACAGAGTCTTCTACAGAGATGTCAAACTGTTGGCATAGTGTTGAACAAGGAGAAATGCCAATTTTGACTGAAGGAAATTTCGTTCCTAGGCCACATAGTATCCAACTCTGGACTGAAAGCTGATCCATCCAAGATCGATGCAATCCTGAACATGAGTTCTCCAACCTGCAAGGATGACATCCATCGCTTACGTGGCATGGTCAATTATTTGGCCAGGTATCTGCCCAAACTATCTGATGTCATGAAGCCTCTCAATGACTTACCCACAACAACTCTGCGTCGACTTGGGACTCCAACCATGACAAAGCCTTTAGGTTGCTGAAAGAGATGCTGATACAAGCTCCTGTGTTGGCGTTCTACAACCAAAGCAAGCCACTTCAAATCCAAACTGATGCCAGTGCTACAGGGTTAGGTGCTGTGATGCTACAGGATGGTCAACCAATAGCATATGCCAGTAGGATGCTGAGTGATCCTGAGACCAGATACTCTGTCATTGAGAAGGAGATGCTAGCAATAGTCTTTGCACTGGAAAAGTGGAATCAGTTCACTTTTGGTCGTAAGACAACAGTATATAGTGACCACAAACCACTGGAGTGCATTGTGAAGAAGGCCCTGGACAAAGCTCCCAAACGCCTACAAGGAATGTTACTACGCGCCATGGCGTATGATGTTGAAGTGAAATACCTTAAAAGGTATCTTGGATGATGCACTAAGCCGTGCTTCTCTTCCGTATGAGAGCGGACAGCATGATCTAGAGGTGGTGAATGCTGTCAAACTCTTGTCTCTCCCTGATGACAAGATAGCTGAGATAAAGAGACAGACTACCCAAGATCCAACTCTCTCCCAGCTCAAAGACACCATACTTGATGGGTGGCCAGACAACAAGACAAAGCTTCCTTTGTCACTGACTCCATACTTCAGTTTTAGAGATGAACTTTCGGTGACAGATGATCTGATTTTCAAGGGAGAACGGCTGGTAATCCCTAAGCAGATGAGGCGACAGATCAAGGAGGAGTTACACATTGGCCACAATGGAGTCGAAGGAACTTTGAGAAGAGCCCGTGAATATGTCTATTGGCCAGGTATGAACAAGGAGATAAAGGAGTGGATCCAGACATGCGAGACCTGTCAAGAAAACTCAGTCTCTCAACCTGCCAAACCTTTGATGTCTCATCCTATATCTGACAGGCCATGGTCAAGAATTGGATTCGATCTCTTCCATCATGATAACGAGAACTATCTCATTATGGTCTGTTACTACTCCAATTTCTTTGAGATAGAAAAGCTACAGAGGACGACTGCCCCCGCAGTTATCAAGCGACTGAAACGTCACATCGGACGCTATGGAGTGCCAGAGATCATTGTCTCAGACAATGGACCTCCTTTCTCTTCAAGGGACTTTGCTGAGTTTGCCAAAGAGATGGGAATCAAGCATAACACCATCTCACCTCACAACAGCAAGGCAAATGGCAAGGCAGAGTCTGCTGTTAAGACTGCCAAAAGACTGCTTACCAAATGCAAGGACACTGGAGATAACGTTGATCTAGCCTGTCTCAACGTTCGTAATACACCAACTCAAGGTACCCAGACCAGTCCTGCGCAAAGGTTCATGGGTAGACGAACACGTACACTCCTACCCACCACAACTCAGTTGTTGATGCCTGATCGTGACTCAGGACCTGATGTCGAGAAACTCAATTCAAACCAGAGACGACAGGAGAAGTATTTCAACAGAAATACAAGGAAGCTCAAGGATCTTCCACTTGGAGCAACTGTACGTGTGAAACCATTCAACCATAGAAAGAAATGGAAGAAAGCGGTGATCCTGAAGAAACTAGACGATCGCTCATATGAAGTTCGCTGTGATGGTCAAACACTTCGTAGAAACAGAGAACATCTCAGAGCGACCTCATCCACGTCAGATACACTTGATCCTATTCCCAACATGTTTAACTGGGAATAGGATCAGATGGCCCCATCAGTATTAAAAGCCACTCTCTCGTTACTATACCAATCTGACTGTACTATCCTTTGTCGTCTGACATTAAATGCCATCGAACCAAGTTTGAAACAGTTACAAAAGTAAAATTCTTTCACTGGGACTAGAATCAACTTAAAATAGCAAGTCATTTGTAAATAGTATACGCTGCACAACCTTTCATTGGAACCAACGCAATCCAACATCAATGGTACACTGGAACCCTAATGAACAGTATGATTCCCTACTTTTGTCATATAAGTCAAATATATAATTCCATTTGAAGAAAAAAATGATATTCTGTTATTCTACGATTCTGCAGAATCACGATAAAAAACGATTTTCAGCGTTTCTTTTTTGTGTTTTAAACACGTTGATTTTTACGACCGACGAAAAATCGCTTGAACGCAACCGTGTTTTAAACTTAACGTCTTTGAAAATCGTCAGTCTAGATTGAGGGTGAAAAAGTGTCGATTGAAAGCACCCAAAGTGTATTACTATCAATTGACCCTTTAAAGATCCTCTCAACCAAAGAAATTGTTAACGATTGACAATGCGTGTATATAATTTTAACACCTCCATCTGAATATTTCTGTAACATCTGAATTCTGCTTACTTTATCAGGGTTCTCTTCCCACATAAAATTATAAAACATGGCATTTATTTTTCTTCACAAATTGTCACTAGGATTAGGAAGAGACATAATAAGAAATCAACAATACTTTGACTACGATGACTGTTCATTTCACAGTGATATATCGTGTTAACGATGATGTCATTTGACTCTTTATTCTGCGATTCTTTCATTAAAATTATGGTATACCGACCTTTGTCAATCTGTTCCAAGTGGGTTCCTAGATATCTGAAGTATTCGTTAAACAAACAGATTGAATTTCGATTTAAAAGTATCTTATCTCTTGTATTTATGTGTTGTCCAATCCCTATCGCACGTGTCTGATGAATGTTTACTTTTAAACCCGGACAGTGTTGCATATTCATCTAAAATGTTCAATACAACATTTAATTCAGCAGAAGTACCATTTAGAGTATTAAGTAAAGTATCATCTGCATACTGAAACAATTTCGAATGTTTATCAGATATTTCAATTCCAATAACGGAGTTGGATTTTATAAACAAAAGTCCTAGTATTTCAGCACACAAACAAAAATCTAAGGAGACAATGGATCTCCTTGGCGACAGACTATTTTTTTAATCTTGGTGTTAGAGGTCCATTTACCATTATACACGACTGGATTTTTTTTACAAATCGTAAAACCATTGTATAATCGAAAGACCAAAATTAAAGTAATGTAAAACCTTTGTTTTAAAGTCATGAAAAATCGAGTCAAACGCCTTTTCGAAATATATTACGACCAATGAACCGGAAATATCATTTACATCAGCGTACAAGAGTAGATCATATAGCAAACGGATATATTTGTTTTTGACATCATGGCTTATTCTTAAAATATACAATTTATTTCTCCTCACAATGTTATCGATCAATCCCAATGATTTTCACTTAGGGCAATACAGATCTAACATGACATGAACTTTATCTGTTAAGAATAACTAAATTTGTCACAATCGCTTCATCATGCTCATGAAGAGAGATAAGACAATCGTTCCAACTTCTTTGGCGACAGTGTAGTTTACACATAATACAGTATCTACATTATCGTAATATCTATTTTTTCTCAAAAACTCTGTAAGGGGAATAAATGATTTTGTTTTGTAACTGGATGTTTGGATATTAAGGAGAGAAATTCCTAAATCGCATGACATAGATGAGACCAGCAAATCTCAATTTCGGATTTTTATTAGATATACGAATCATATTATATTAGCATGATTTATGTCAGTTTGTGGTGCATAGAGATAACTAAATTGTAGTGTACATGATATGCATATGCCTTATATTGTAAGTCGAGTTTATTCATCCAAAAAGCTCATGAATCGATTTCAAAGTTTTTGTCAGCTCTTGAGATATTGAGATTAATACAAATAAGTTTTATGAAATATTGACTCTTTACAGGCCTCTTACGTTGGTGATGCGGTTAGTATATATTCAGTGTGCTTTTCTATTCAAATTGATTAGAAGATATTCTATTATGTACATTCGTATCCATATAATTGGAACATTGTGGGGTTTGGGGCGTCAGTTCCCAAATTGGTTAAGACATCATGGCTTATATTGTATAGGAAAAAAAATCTAAAATTTCTCACAAGTTTAACGATTAATCTCCATGACGTTTACATTGAAAATTACAGATCTTAACGGACAAGAACGTTTAATATCTGTCCAGCATAACCTATAATATCCCAATTACTTCATCATATTCATGAAAAGACGTAAAATAATTATTCCAACTTGATGGGCAATAGTTAAGTAGCTTTGTATGCAGTGTATACATTATCTCAGTATCTATATCAGTCAGTAATTGTATTATAAATGTTTTTGTCATCAACTGGATGTTTCGAAATGAGGGACACATATTTATAAATTGCATTTTAACATATTAGACAACTACAGTTTACTTTCCATATTATCTTATTTCAGAATGGCATTATAAATAAATAGATTCAAGTATAACTGAATATCGACATTTAGAACGTAAATCAGTTTCAAATAATCATGAAATAATTACAAGGTCATAATTGTTATGTAAATGACCCATTAAACCAGTCGTTCTGCTATAAAGAAACGGATATATAAAAATGACACGTTCAGTCGATATAATTATATCACTCAGATCAATAGTAATGTTTACTACATTTTGTTTATGGGAGAGTTGTGTCACTTCTGTATTTACACTGTTATCAGACTAGGGCAGATGAGCTCCGCTTGGTCTGTAAATGAGGGAAAGCATCACCGTCACAAGCCCTCGAGACAGAACTCTTGTCGTTATTGTAACTAAAATATTCTGAATGACCATTCATAAAGAGTCCACTATAAAAATCATTGGCATATTCGGACCTCCAATTTGCATATAAAACTCATAATGATAGGGGATTGGACGCTGGAATTAGCTACATAATTTTTGCAAATCACTAACAAAGCTTTACCCAATACCTTGTTATATAAAGACTAACACTGATTTAAATATGCAGATGATCATGCTTTACGTTGAGTTTAATCATCACCTATTTCAGGTGTCATATTCGCAATTTTCGTCCACTCTTATTCTCTTTATTAAAGATATTATGATTAATGAAGATTAACGTTTATCTAAATTATCTATTCTTAAAAGTCCATGGCGAGTTCACTCCCAGTAAGTATATACTCCTTGTTACCTTAACAAAACGATTGATTAGAAAATAATATATCATGTATTATATCCCTCATGTATAGTTGTTTGCATTGCGATTGTACAGAGCACGAAAAAGATATAAATAAGTACTATCTACCTGAGATTGTACTTATTGTAAAGTAATTTTTTGCTACTACCCCACTTGCCCACCCTTGCCCATTGAAAACGCATAGCAAAGTAGGTTACGCGAAATGTCAAAGTCAATGTCAATGTCAAATGAGCGCGCATCGACTGTATTACATGTGTATGCATGTTGCGCTTTTTAAAATCTAGCTGAAGCTAAACTGTCTGCAGAATCAGTTCTTATTATTATGTAAAATTCACTTTAAATAGACCTTATTGCCGATGTGGGATATAAAACAAATATTAACCTCCTTTACTCGGGCAATGGATACAACTATCATCGCCTCGGTGATCTCGGGGCTACCATCTTCCCTCGCCTTGCGGCTCGGTAAGATAGTAGCCCCGAGATCACCTCGGCGATGATAGTTTGCACCATTACCCTCGTAGTCGATTAATATTTGCTTACAATACTCCCCCGAAAGCTCAATCATTTTCTTTATTTGCCTCATTTCCCGAAGTGATTGTGAAATCATGATTTATTCTTGGTAGATGAAACGTTTATCTTTTCGCAAGTTTATTGATTGGTCTGTATGACGTTAACATTGAGCAAAATAGATCTTAACGGAAATTTACTTTATCTATGAAGCATTTATAATTACAATTACTTTATCATGTTCATGAAAAGACGTAAAATATATATTCCAACTTCATGGGCAACAGTTCAGTATAGTTCATATACAGTGTACACCTTATCGAAGTATTTGTATCAATCAATATTCTAAAAGACGTTGAAATGTTTTCTTCTATTTTAACTGGATTTGGGGGAAATGAGAGAGACATATTTATGACTTGCAAAATAGTATATTAGACCACCAAAGTTCCCCATCCGGATTTTCTCATTTCAGAAACGCATTATAATAAGGGGATTTATGTCGATCTATAATGCACAATTACAATTGAATATTGGAATGAGAAACTTCACCAGTTTTCAGTTATAATAAAACAGTCGAAGGCCACAATTAATACGTAAATAGGTCATTAATTCATTCGTTTTACAATACATAGAGCCTTGCACGTAATGCATATTTTTAAATTACACGTTCCGTCAGTATAATTGGTATCACTGAAACCAATAATAATGTTCACGACATTTTTTTTATTGAACAGTCGTGCCACTATTGTGTTTACACTTAAATTGGAAAAACTCAGTGTCTTTCATAGGAGCAAAGCTGTGGAGTAATTTGCCCATGAATATAAGAGAAGAAAATCATTTCGTAAAAATCCCAGAATTAAAGTTTAAAATATCCTTTATTGAATCACTAATACATCGGAACTCTGTGAATTTCAATTCCAGTCGCACTTGTATATATCTCTAAGAAATCCAACTCAATCTCTACGTATTATTAAGTTATGGCTAAATCGCAGGTTTAATATGACGTGATATATGATTGATTTAATGTGTACATATGGTTTAACAATGGATATTTCCTTTTTCTTTGTAATTCATGTACATGAATATGTATACGATATCAACTGTTTATTAGTTGTTATTTTGTTACCCACTTGAATAAGTTCAAGTTCAGTTCAAGTTCATGTCGAATACATTTGCA